ACCCAATTCATTAAGTATGTCGACCCGGCTTGGATCTCACCCAAAGAATCAAAGCAAGAATAATTATGTGCACATGCCTATTTAATATCTTACGGGTTAAGAGCACGCAATAATTAACAAAGGCCTAGTTCGTTTACGACGATCAGTATAAAACGAACATCCCTCTCTGGGATCTTGTTCAATACATAAATGTACTACTGCAACTAATCGGTCAAGACAAACCGTACGGTTGACACTACAACCGTTCCGATGGGTTGTTCAATTCCATCTAGGTTGTGAACCAATGATTTTTGTTTCGCAAGTAACTGATATAGTGATCTTCGGTACGCCCGATGACGACCCACTTATCTACATGCAAAACAACAGAACGTGGAACTTATTTAACCAAACATTATTCTCATTCATCAAGAAATAACAAGTGTAATATCCACTAAAGCAAAGCTTAAGTATATAACACCAACAGTATCGAGGTGGATCCTTCTAAGGTCTCAGTTGTTCAGAACTGGTCGACACCGAGGAGTCCGTCCGAGGTTCGCAGTTTTCTCGGTCTAGCTGGCTATTATCGCAGGTTCATCGAGGGCTTTTCTAAGATCACCCTCCCTCTATCCCAGCTGACGAGGAAGTCTGTGAGGTTCGAGTAGACTGACCGATGTGAGTCGAGCTTTAAGGAGCTCAAAAGGAGTTTAACTTCAGCATCGGTGTTGACTATTCCCGATCTTTCTCGGAGTTTCACCATTTTCAGCGATGCTTCGAGACAGGGCTTGGGATGCGTCCTTATGCAGGACGTCCAGGTCGTTGCGTATGCTTCACGTCAGCTTAAGCCGCACGAACAGAATTATCCGACGCACGACTTGGAGTTAGCAGCAGTCGTTCATGCCCTCAAGATTTGGCGACATTATCTTTACGGCGGTCATTGTGAAATTTTCACAGATCATAAGAGCTTGCAGTATATTTTTACTCAGAAGGAGCTCAACATGAGACAGCGCCATTGGCTCGAGCTCGTCAAGGATTACGATTGCTTGATTCAGTATCATCCGGGAAAGGCGAACGTCGTTGCTGACGCCCTAAGCCGAAAGGTGAGGGGTGACTTGACGTACGTCGTTACTCAACAGAGTCCGTTGATTCAGGAGTTCGCTCGGATGCAGATTCAGGCGGTCGATGCACTTTCCACAGCTCTTTCGGGGAGTGTCAGTGCCAGCATCAGTGCTATGCAGCTTCAGCCGACGCTGAGAGAGAGAATTCGGCGGGAACAAGCTTCTGACGAGTTCATTCGAGTCATGGAGGCCAAAGTCCACGTCGGAGGCATCGAGGGTTTTCAGCTAGGTGCCGATGGTGCCTTAGAATTCAGAGGCAGGATCGTGGTCCCGAAGGTCGAGGAGTTGCAGAAAGAGATTTTGTCAGAGGCTCACACCGCACCCTATTTAGCCCATCCCGGAAGCACGAAAATGTATCGCGACCTGAAAGGGTCGTTCTGGTGGTGCGGAATGAAGAAAGACGTCGACGAGTTTGTCAGGAGATGTTTTACCTGTCAGTAAGTCAAAGCCGAAACATCAGAGTCCGATCGGCCTCCTGCAACCACTGTCGATTCCAAGGTGGAAGTGGGAGGAAGTCACGATGGATTTCGTTACAGGATTACCGAGTTCGTCTGAACATCACGACGCTATTTGGGTCGTGGTCAACAGATTGACTAAGGTCGCGCATTTCTTACCCGTTTCGATGAAGATTTCTTTGGATAAATTGGTTGAGATATATACCCGTGGGATCATTCGACTCCACGGAGTGCCCGTTACTATCGTATCAGACAGAGACCCCAGATTCGTCAGTCGATTCTGGCACAGTTTACACGAGGCGATGGGCACGAAGCTAGAGTTCAGTTTAGCCTACCATCCGGAGATAGATGGTTAGTCCGAGAGGACCATTCAGACGCTTGAGGATATGCTTCGCGCTTTGGTTATTGACAGGGGTGCTAAGTGGGAGTCGTTGTTGCCGTACGCCGAGTTCGCGTATAACAACAGCTATCATTCTTCTATTCAGTTGGCTCCTTACGAGGCACTTTATGGTCGTAAGTGTCGTTCCCCTCTTTATTGGGACGACGTCGGAGAGCGACGAGTACTCGGTCCGAAGATGATCGAGGAGACGGCAGAACAGGTCGAGTTGATCCGGCAGAGACTCAAGACAGCTCAGAGTCGACAGAAATCTTCAGCCGATCATCATCGACGAGACATTCAGTTCGAGGTTGGCGAGCCAACTTTACTCAGAGTTCATCCTATTCGCGGAGTCGTTCGATTCGGGAAGACAGAGAAGCTGCACCCTCGATTCATTGGCCCGTTCGAGGTTCTCGAGCGAGTAGGCGAAGTTGCGTATCGATTAGCCCTACCTCCCGAGCTATCAGGCATTCATAATGTTTTCCACGCATCTATGTTGCGTAAATACGTGTGAGAACCCGATCATGTCATTCCCCATTCAGATATTCAGGTTCAGCCAGATCTTTCGTATGAGGAGCGACCGGTAGCTGTATTGGACCGTCAGGTTCGTCGGCTCCGGAAGCGAGATGTTCCCCTTGTGCGTATTCAGTGGGATCACCACGGAGCTACTTGGGAGGCGGAATCCGATATTCGCGCTCGTTTTCCAGATTTTCGGTTTTGATGTACATATTTTTATGTTCCATGTACATATTTCATGATTATTCAGTTCGTTTTGAAATTTCCGAGGACAGAAATTTTTAAGGAGGGAGGATTGTAATATCCCGTCAGTTTAATAATAAAAATCATGTTATTAGTTTCGATATAATAACGTTATCGATTATTATTTTCGGAATTAATTAGTTTCAGTCGAAATTATCCGAAATTATTTTCGACGTCCGTTTACGATCGGAATAATTTTGGAAATTAAGAATTATGTTTAATTAAATAATTAAACATAAATTCGTGATTAATTAACAATTAATCACGTTTATAGTAATTAAGGCCGTATGGATTTGTCCATTTATTTGTTAAGTCGTACTTAATTCTTCATAAGTAAGGAAATTATTTCCTCATTTGTAAGTGCTCTTACGTGTCATTAATAGAGAGTTAGGTGGTGATTAGTCACCATAAGCTTACGCTCTTTTTGGCAAGTGTCATTAGTGGGTGTAACCACATAAGGCATCATCATCCAACTTTCCATTCGGTCAAGTATATAAAGATGGAGTTGGAGCAAATTTTTCCCCACGTTTAAGCTATATGCTCATCTTATATTTCTCTAAAGTTCAGCAAATAAATAGGATAGCCATTGCCTTTCTTTTACACTACACGCACGGCAAGTTGCACCGCAAGCTCAGCACACACGCACGCACACGCCGCACGCGAGCATCACGCATGAAGCGCCGAACGCCGGGAGTACCTGGTGTGGTTCAGCGACCACATAAGAGGTAACTTTGATTACCTTGAGTTATTCATGATAAGGGCATATTAGTTCGAATTATTCATGTTCATGGTGCGGTCTTAGGCATTTCGGCCGTGCAAGTGCGTCGTGATGAGCTCATGTTTTAAGTTAATGTCTCTCGAACAATAATTATGAAAACAACCTTTTCATGTTATATCATGTTTATTCAGTTTATGTTGTTCGGGAGAATATTCATGTTGCTCGATAGTTCGGCCATGGGATGTGGTCGCGCATGTAGCGCACCACGGGCCGAACAAGTGTAGCATGTATGTCAAGTTCAATCCTTTGGGTATTTCATGTCCGTTTGTTCAGTAAATGATGTTTCATGATTAGTTATGGGTTCATTATCGAGAAAGGATCGTGTTCGGTCGAGAGACGGCCCAACGCCGTAGGCGGCGCATGGTGCGCACGCCGGTCATGTACGGTTATTGGGCAAAATTCATGTATTTTAAGTTATTTCAGTGTTTATGATCCTGTCATGTCAGTTTATGTCAGTTCAGGTCAGATTGCACGAGAGTTGTTGTCGGACGGCCGGAAAGGGCCGGCCGTGGCCGCGCTGCCGCAC